TAAATCTTTACTTATCTTCCAGGTTGTGGATACTTTTTCTTTAGAGCTTTTATCATAGCATGTAATTGCATATTTGTGATTATTAGTTGGTTTATTTCATCTGTAAGCCCACGAGGACAAAGAATATGTCCCTTTGGCGATTATGTTCCTGTTGCCTGGCATGGAATAAACGGTAAATAAAGATTTATTGAAGGAAGAAATGAATCCCAGGAAATTAAATGTCTTGCCTAATATAGTAAATAGTGTTCGTTTTATAAGAATATAAGCTCCATGATGGCAGGATTTTTGCCTTTTTTTTTTTTCCCCCTTGGCATCTTCAACAGTGCCTGGCTCATTGTAGAAGATGTTTCTTGAATATTGATTGTTCTTAGACATGATTCCAAAGATTGCTTATCCAGACCCTGGACCTTTCTTCTCTTTGTGCCAAATCTGTCTGAAAATAGGGATTTGGAGTTATCCTGTTTCTCTGTGCAGTAGAGAAATCTGAGAGTTGCTGCTGTGACTCAGAAAGGTGGCTTTACTTTTCTGTATACAGGTCTCAAAGGGCATCCAAATGTCATCAGACAAACAACAGTATCTCTTTTACATCCTGTACACCCCTTTTTACCGGCTGCCAAGCTAGGTATTGATGTCATCTATCCTGCCTCTTTTCTAAATCCCCTGAATAACATGTTGAATAGCCATCAGAACAGTTCTTCTACCAGCTTTCATTTAACCATTTGCAGACTCATATACACACATATATATATATTTTTTTTTTCCCAAAAAATTCACTTAAGTGGCAGAGTAGAAACCTTTTAATGATCTCTTAGAAAACTGTTTCATGTTTAAGGCACCAGAAACTCAGATGTTATTTACTATTTGAGTTTAGGGAATGATAATGTTGTTATTTTACTTGCTGTGTTCCTGTCTTTAAGATCATCAAATTTGTTGAATACTTTCCCAGTTGGGAGCTGAACGGTCTTAGTGTTAAGATTTAACAATGCACAGGTTTGTGCTTCATCTCACCCTTTGCATTTTCAAAGAACTTGGAATCATATAGCATTACCAAAGATTGTTCATTTATTATAGCTGCCACTCACAGTTCTGAAGTCAAGTCACAGCTTGTGATCAGTAATGATTCGTACAGAGTGCATATGTCAACATGGAAGTACCAATATCTGATGGCAGTCATGGCAGGTTTTTCCCTCCCTCTCAGAAAAAGCTTTCTGTTTTCAGAGACTGAATATTGAATATCAAGGGTTTCTACTCTGTGATGATAGGCCTAGAGCTGGGAGGTGGAGTGCTGGTCATGGAAGGACTCAGTTGCTAGTCTTGACTCTGCTGTATAATTTTGGGCAAGAGCTGTGGGCTTGGGGATTGGGCTCTTCTTCATCAATGAAATCATGCTGACCTCTTCCAATTTTAAAAGCTGTTCACATACCTTTATCATGCTAATTCTTTCAATAGAGGAATTGATTGGCTGCAAGTTAATTGTAAATTTGTTCTAATTTTAAATAATCTCATGTGTATGTAGCCAGTTGTGTTAGCCACCTAGGGGGGATTCAGTAATTTTTCTTGCTGGCTTTTAGCCGACTGCAAGACATCATTTTGCCATGTTTTCCCTCTAAGATCAAGATTTGCTCTTTAAAAAACATCCTGGTCAACCCAGGGAATACTATTCTCAACCAATTCCTTTTGAACATTAGATTAACCCATGATGGTTTTCAGAACTTGTTTGGGTTGAGTGATTTCAGCTAATCCCACTCTTTACTCATGCACTCTGTTGGATCACTCATAGACACAGAGGAACTCTGAAATTAGTGGAATTAGTTTTACATTCATCTTTTTAATTTATCATTTAAAAATCCATTAAACTCTCACTCAGAATTTTTTTCTGTTCATTTGTGTATACTAAAAGTTCTGGTACCCTTTGATGGAACATATTACTTTGAAATATGGTAAAATGACTAGACCCCAAATTGTTCTTTCAAGATTTCAGAGTACCCTATTTGTATTTCTAAGGGAAGCATTTAGTTCATAAAGTCCAAGGAGATTCAGTGAGGTTAGAGAACCAAGGTGGGGAGTCCCTGATCTTTGCAAATTGAGTGTGATAAAACTTCACAGAAGAAAGAGGAGTCTGTAATTCCCTCATTTAACTTCAGATCTGTAATTTTTTCGGAAGCCTTCGATTATCCAGCATTTTTCTGGTTGAGGAGCTGATCCCTAAGTTGTGTGTGAAGGCGCTGATGCGTGCAAGTCTTGGCCCTCACTGGCATTCCACTGAGTGGGAGCGACACACTTCCCTTTCTGTTCTCTTCCGCCTTAGGATCCTGTCACCACATTGGGAAGATTAGACAACACCTCCCTGCAGTTTATTTTCTTTTTGAACAAGTTACATTATGGAGGGACTTTTAAGCTAAAAGAAGAAAAGCACCCTCTTTGTTAGAAGCAGCAGTGTGTAGTTTCAACTTGTCTTGGACTTCCTCGGAGATGTTTTAGGAGATGTTTTAAGATCCGGTGTAAACTTGCTGTGGTTTGCCTTTGGGCATCGCACTGTTTAGCTTGGCTCTATTATATCTGTAATTGCTGTATTTTAATAATTGCCCAATATTCTTGTCAGCAATTTGCAGTCTATATTTTTAATAGAACTGTTTGCCTTTCTTTTCCACAGGTTCATTCAGACCTGGTTTAAGCCCCTGGATTAACGAGCACAGTCCCACAGACCCTCTGCAGCTGCAGGAAGGGGGTGACACAAGCTCATTAAATAGTCTCACAAGCCTTGTGCTGGTTATAAGGTTATGTGTTCCATAAATCCTCTGGGAAGCCATCTTCTTCTGAGATCTCTTTATAATGTTTGCTTTATGAAAACTGCCTTTGCATTTGCTGAAATAGCATATTTTTTTTAAGAAAGTATTTTCCTTATCAATCCATTCAGGAAGTCTCACTTTTTGAAGGTAGCAAATAGGGACAAATCCTTTTTGCTGTTGTTGACTTTTTAAGTTAGCAGAAATTTCCATTTCATCTGAGATGATGTGGAGTTACAATGACAGAAATGTTGGACTCCAAGGGACGATTGAAGTCAGTTTCGTGGCTTCCAAAGTTATCTCTATAATTTAGTCAGTTTTTGAGATAAGACCATTGTGCCCCCAGCGACTTATACTTCAGCTTGACTGGCAATTTCGTTCTTTTAGTGATTCCATTCTTTAGCTTATCTCCTTTTTGTATCTGTTGAATGTTTATTTTTTAGTAGGTAAAAGATTCGAACTGGTTTTGCACTAGCTAAAAATTACATAAATAACCACACCCTAATTTCTTCACTTTATTGGCATAAATATACCTCAAAAAAGAACGGCCAAGTGGTGATAATAATAGTTAACATTTATCGATTGCTTATTATATGCTTGGCACTGTTTTAAGTATTATACATATATAAATGAGCAGTGTTCGTGTGTGTGTGTGTGTGTGTGTGTGTGTGTGTGTGTTCATTTATTCCCCATAAAAGCTTGCCCATGGATAGGTTCATTTATGCAGAACAGCCCACCATCACCCATTTGGTAGGTGACAGAGTGGATCCACACCTAGGCAGACTTTTAACTGCCATCATAATCTATATTCTATTCATAGTAAGCCTGTAATCACTATTATATACCGAGGTTGAACCACAGTGCCTCCTGCATATATAATTATTTAGTTTCAAGATGTATCTAAAATTTTATTTTTGAAATTAGATCTTTATTGTTATTATTTCTGCATAAGTAATACTTGTAAAACCCAAATAGCACAAAACCCAAATGAGAATTCACTGAAAAGGCTCCTGGTTCCTTCCACCACTGTCCGCCAATCACTTTTTTTCTCTCCTCATAGACAATCAGCATTATTAATGCAAAGAGCCATTTTCATTATCTTTCTCTTAACACTTGATGCAGTGAACTAAGACTAATTAATTAGAAACTCAATTTGCTGTTGTTTTTATATTTTTGTGTGGTATCTGCAAGTGCCCAAACTGGATTTGTCTCTGGGTAGCAAGTTCGTTCTGTGAATGGTATTTCCTAGGAGAGGGTAACAGGGCTGCAAACCTGGATATTTGAGATGGTTCCTGGAAATTACTTGATTCAGCCTTGCCCAGGACTTAGATCAGGCAGGGTCTTTGTGCTTTTATTTAGTTGTTGGACATCTATTATCCCTGATGAGAAGGAATCATGTCCTTAAACAATTCTTGGAACATAGTAGGTGCTCAATAAATGTTGAAATGAATAACAGCGGTTTGTGCCAGGCTCAGGGATATAGGGCTGGAAAATATACTTTGACGTGTCTAAATGGGACAATTTTTAGGGCCATAGAAGGGATATTTAAGTTAAGCAAACCACCATAACACTTGCCATTCAAGGTTCTATAGGAAAAGGTTAGAAATGACCTCTGGATCCTCTAGTTCAGTAATCATATAGTCTCAGATGGGGTTAAGAGACGGGAAAGACTTTTCTCCCGTTAAAATGTTAGCAAACATTTCAAATAAGAATTTTGCCTTTTAATGGTTCTTTATTTTCCAGATTGGGTCTGAATGTATTTTAATTTGATTTTTGTGGCAACGCTGCCATTTACAACATTAGATTCTCTAATCAGGGGTTGTTTGTGTTTTCTTGTTAGCCCTAGAGAATTCATGTATTGTCATTGATTACTTTAGTGCTGTAATATAACTGGTGATGTTAAAGGTGCACCTTCATTTTCTTCTATAATCCTGAAAATTTTATATAAAGCAAAAGATTTAAAATTTCAAAAATACGCATGTCATTGCAAAAGTATTGCTATACAAATCTTTTTTTTTTTAAAGTTATTTAGCTATACAAATCTTTATTAGGTAATTATAATCCCCACCTCAGTTTACTTGAGTGCTGTCTCTGCATCTTTTAAGACAAATTTATCTTATACTTTTAAGAAATTCTTCATTTCATTCTAATGTATGTTTATGAAAAGAAGTTCCTGCATTAATTTTTCTTCTTGAAATATGCTTATTTTTACAGGCAATTTGAAAATTGGAAAGGAAGATTTTAAGGCCACTTCTGATTTGGAAAGGCTGTCTGTGATCTGAAGAAGTACAAGCTGAAGTGACTGAATGAGACACACTTTTGGAGAAATAAAAATGACTTCTCATTATGTGATTGCCACGTTTGCCCTGATGAGTTCCTGTTTAGCCACTACAGGTAAGTCGTATCATATTAACTACATGTTTATTATATTCTTTTGGATATATTTTTCCTCAGTTTTTTCAGTTTAGTAAAACTTAGGACATGTGATATTTATGTAAAACTTAAGTATTTATGTTCTTTAGAGAAATAAAATATTTTACTACTATGCAGATACATAGTACGTTTGCCTATGTTCTATTTTAATAGACTGGTACTAGCGTTCTAACGTTCTAATGTCAGTGATAGAGATACCTAACCAACCTTCAGTATTGATGTGTGTAGAAAACAAATAGGCTAGTTGTTTAATCCCACTTAATTTTGTTACATGCATAGATTGCATTTACTTTCTTGTCCTAAATAAGAATTTTAAGAAAGCCTTTTTGTTCTTTATTATAAAATAAATAGATCTTCTAGAAAGAGGAGACATACTGCCTAGCAGCCTGGCATAGGCTGCTTAGAAGGTATTTAATTTTGCCTGTTTCAAATATTTTGATATGTAACTTTAAAAAAAGTATAGAAGTATACCTCAGAATGTGAGGTTGGAGGTGAGAAGAAGAAAATGACTTGGTTGGAACATTGTTGCTTAAATAAGAGTGTCGGATCCCCCACATCAACCTCTTAGTGTTGGCAGTCAGGGTTACTTAATAAATTTGGAGGCTTGATTTGCTCTGTTTTGTTGTAATTTGTTTTGTGTCTGTTCTATAATGGAGTACGTAAAACTAGTTTGTTGGACCAGTTCTGGAAGCTGGCTGGTTTCAACAGGAAATATATGGACTTGAAAAATGACTAATCTCTTGGTTTTTGCTATTGAAATCACATACAGTTCAGATGATAGTTATGATAACAATTTATTGAGTGTGCACTACAGCCAGGCACTGGGCTAAACAATTATATAGACTATAACAAGAAATAAAGATATTCTTTTTTCATGAACTCACTTAATCACAGCTCTGAGTTAGGTAGGATTATTTTTCTTATTTTACAGATGATGAAATGAGATAGAGAGAGATTAGATACTTGCAGTGTCATGTAGTTAGGAAGTGGAGGAGCCAGGGTTTACATCTGTGCTGTTAACCTCTGTGCTGTACTGAAGACGCTAGACCACCAATCGAGGTTGCAGTAGACTCAGACTAGTAGTCACGTATAGGCACAGACTGAGTTAAAGCCAGTTTGCAGAACTTGGTTTATGGGATTGAAAAGCAGAATGTCCCCCTCATTGCAAATACCTTGAGAGAAAGTTGCTAGTTTTTTTTTTAATGTCAGCGTGTGAATTTGAACTGCCCATTCTCTGTCAGCAGTTTCATTTTGTCTCATAATTGAAGAGTTATTTGCCTTTTAGCCTGTGCATTAAGACTGATGTTAATTAAAATCTCATTGAAAAGTAGTAGAAAAAAAAAAGTGAGAAATAGCTTGATGGAAAATATGCTGTTTTGATGATAAGATGTATAATCATACCTGGTGGGTTTGAGGCAGAATTTTCTGCTTTCATTGATGCTGGGGGCAGACTGAAAAACATGACTGGGAAAGCGATAAGTTTAATGGCTCTGTACAGCCTTGATGTATTTGATAGTGAATCAGTTTTGCTTAAGACTTTCCTTCTTGCAAATCATGGTAAAATATTTTGAATTCTGTACGCACTCAAAGCTTTGCTGAGGTGTATAGTAAAATGGAAGGTACAGTAAAATTATAGATTTTGTAACAATCCAAGGTAACCCATAAGTAGTACAGAGGTAGAGATGCCTTTTTGAACAGCCTAATGGGCCAAATGAATAAAGAAGGAAGGAGAAATGTTTTGTATTTACTGATATCCAATAGCTTTCTGTATAGGCTCAGCAGACTTTACAAAATGCTTTTTGGGGCATTCTGGGTAAGTTGAACTTCAAGAAGATAGTAGTAGTAGTAATAATAATAATAATAATAATAATAATGATGATGTATATTTATAGAGTAATTAATTACTGTGTGCCAAGCCCTGTTCAAAGTGTTAAAGTATTATCTCATTTCATCCTCATAACTGCCCTAAAATGTGTAGGTACTTTATTTATCCCCAGTTTACAGATGAGGGAACTGAAGCACAAATAAGTTAAGTAACTCCCTCAAGGTCGCACATCTAAGTGACATATTTAACCATAAACTCACTTAGTCTAGGTCTGCAGATTGAGCCTTTAAGTCTCTACACAATGAGGGAGTATTGATCAGAAGGGTGTTTGTTTAAAAAGAATGATGATGGTTTTACTCTGTGCCATCTGTGTCTTCATGAAACATCAAGTAAATCACTTACTGAGTCTCTGCCAAGTGCAAAACATAGTGCTAGCCACTTAAATGGAAAAGTCACCTCTTTTTTGAGTCGCTTGTACTTTAGTTAGGCATATTAAAATATAACCATATAAAAAATAATCAATATATGATGAGTGCCGAGTAAAAAACCTCAGAGGGGTCAGAAAGGGAAGGCCTGCTAGGTTAGAGCAGCTAGGGATGAGTTTGTGGAAGCGCTAGGTCTTCAGGCAGAATCTAAAAAGAGGAAGGCATTGGGTTGACCAGATGGGAGAACCGTGACTAGCACAGTGCATGGCTCTTAGGTGCTTGATGGTTTTTTAAAAAATGAATGACCTGGAAAACTGGCATGGGAATGTAGCAGGAGGTCTGTTGGGAAGGAAGGATGGGAGTAGATTGCACAGGACCTTAAATGTCAGAATGAGGCTGTGGCTTTCATTTTGAGGTTTAGATTCTCTCTTATATTCCCCTGTAGCCAAAGGCATACAGTGTCAATCTTAGAATTCAAGCTATGGGATGTGGTTCCATAGTGTAGCAGTTAGCACATCTGTTTTACATGCAAAAGGTCCTAGGTTCGTGCTCCAGTGGAGCCACGGTCTATGGTCTACGGCCATGACACCCTGAACAAGCCCAATGTTTGATCTTGGAAGCTAAACAAGGTTAGGCCTGGTTAGTACTTGGATGGGAGACCACCTAGGAAGATGAGGTGCTGTAGGCCAAAAAAAAAAAAAATTCAAACCGTGGCCTTAAAAAGTGAGGCTGAGATTATGGCCTCATTACCTTCAAAGACAATGGTGCCTGGCACATAGGCTGACATTTATCAAAGGCTTGCTCTCTGTCAGCTCATTTATTTTGTCTTTATAAGACAAAATAAGGCTTATAAGACTAATACCTATAAAATAGGTATTAGTTTTATTATCATCATCTGCATTTTATAAACAAGGAAACTGCGGCTCAATGTAATGATTTGTATAAAGTTCCATAACTAATAAGTGATAGAGCTGGGACTTGAACCCAGGTGGTTTGGCTCTCAAGTTCAGCCCATCAACCATTCCACTGAAGCTTCTGTGTAGGAGAACCTCAGTATGGAATGAATGGACCTCTGTGCTTGATTGAGTAGCCACCAATAAGACATCCTGGAACCAGATTAAACCCCTGTGGTCTCAGAAGAAATGTATGTAAGTCATCAGAACTGAGGAGCTCAAGTAATGAGCCTTCTTTATTTGTGTTCTTACTTCACGGGCATGGCCATGAAGTTCTGTTGTGGAGTTCTTGGCAGTGGAAGGGGTGAAGGCTGTAAAAGACCTCCTGTAGATACTCAGCCAGGGAGGGGCGGAGTGCAGCACAGCACATAGAATGAGCCCAAGTTGGAATAGCAGAAGACTGCTTTTCTAGCCCCATGGGTTTGCTGGGCCTTCAGTGAAAGCCTTTCCTTCTCTGCTTGAAGCCGAGGATGAAGGAGGCAGTGGGCAGCAAGCCACATCCCAGGGTCAGTGGTTGCTTTGACAAAACCCATGCTTTTCCTTCCTTCCCTTGTTCCTTGGTTATTGTACAGCATTGTAGGGGAGGGAGGGCCATGCTCTTTTTTTGTGGGGTTGGGGAGGACCATGCTATTTTTTAGGGGATGGGGAAGGCCATGCTCTTGGTGAATAAGAGCTGCGTAAGGGCTATAATGACTCCTGATTAGAAATTACCTTAGATTTTTGACACTGTACCTTAGATCCTGTAATCTCTCTAAGAAAAGTGGGAAGTTTCAAAAATAAATGCTTGCTCTTATGGGCTTAAGGTTCACTAAGTTTTCACTTTAAAAACTGTTCTGCTACACATCTTTAAAAAATATTAACTGTTGCCTCTGAGGCTTGCCAGAGTTAGGTAGGGCTGTGTTTCCAGGAGCCTTAATGAGAAAAAGAGGCACACATGGAGAATTCAGGGAAATCGGTTTGGTTAGAAGGGATAGACTTGTCTATACACCATTGGCCCCTCATGCCAGGTCAGAGAGCTACTACTGGGCTGAACTGTGCAGAAACACTGCTGGCCTTGATGCCAGCGGACTGTTGATGGGACGGCTGTGTCCCTCATTCCACTGTTTTCATTTGGTGCCTAGATGCATACTTTTGGAGGCTTGCCCACATCCTGCACACATTTGTATTGAACAAACACATTTCTTTTCATCTCTCCTGGATGCATCTGGAATTCCAGGTACAGTCTACAGGAAAATAGAAATGTTTTTACTTGGAACTGTTTTCTTGCTAAGAAAGCTCTGAACTCTTTGTGTCCATGGGACAGCAAGCAGAGATACCAGCTTGTTAAGATGTAGTTTAGCATGGGACATGCTAGCAGCCTTGGGGAGAGGCTAACCTAAGAATATAGGCACACCTTGTTTTACTGAGCTTCACAGATGTTGCAGTTTGTACAAATTGAAGGCAAGACCCTCCACCCGCAAAAGATGACAGCCTGCTTTATTGCAATACTTTTTTGTGGTGGTCTGGAACTGAACCTGCAATATCTCTGAGTTATGCCTGTAATATCATTTTATATTTATAGTTTTCAAAATGCTCTTATACCTAGTATTTCATTTTATTCTCATAGCACTCCCTGGGGTAGGCAGGTATTGTGTTTTTTTGTTTTGTTTTTGTTTTTTTGTTTTCATTTCTAGAAAGAGAGTAATGGGACTTAGAAAAAGTAATTTAGAAAGATGGTTCAACTCTCAATCAAACCAGAAATCGACACACTTCTGCATG